CTGCCTTTGTCAACATTGTGTGGAAGAGAACATGGTAGAAAACGTATCTGGAAAAGCCTCAGCCTCCCAGGAGATAAAGAATGTGCTGATATAAGGTGAAAGAGCTACCCTATGATTTATTCACTTCCAGGCTAAAAACATATCCGCTGCCCCTCGCTGAAATAACAAGGCTAGAGCTAAAGTTGAGGCTGGTGAATTTTCCATATTAAAAGGCATGTGGGTGACCCACATTTCTACAGAAATACACCACACACCATATCGTTTCTCTCGACCTCATTCATCCCACTTCCACTCTTTCACAGGAAGATTGAGTATAGTAACTGCATTTCCACAGAGAGAAAGTTGTGTGGTATACCGGTGAGTTGTTGCTGCCTTTCTGCCGCAATGACAAATTTAAGTCCAGGAGTGAAGAGTGAACAAGAAGGAGAAATATGAGCTGAGGAGTGTGCAGGGTGTTGAGAGATAAGTCAGGGGGAAATGCACAGTTGTATCTAGGGCTCCGTCCATCCATCCATCCATCCATCCATCCATCCGTCCATCCATCCATCCATCCATCCATCCATCCATCCATCCATCCATCCATCCATCCATCTGGTACATCCACCCAACCTTTAAAAGTTGGGGGGGGGGCGGGAGGCGTGTACATCCTGGATAGGTCGCCAGTCAATTACAGAGCTGAAACATAGATAACTATTAACATTCACAACTATGGACAATTTAACTATAGTTAATTTGCCACTTGCAATTATAATTGCTTGCAAATCTGGCAAAATTATACATATATATATATCAGATGCCAGGGTTATGATCCTGTACTTTGTTGAATACTGTAATACTCACAATTATTTGAGTATCAAAAACACACCAATGCATTAGAGGAACAAAATATAGAAAGATAACTATTCGATATCAGAACAGTTTGATCTGCATGTATCACAGTCCCTGCACAGCACTATTACACATGCACTGCACTCAAAGAAATGAACATGTACCAATGTACATCCATAAAAACATAAAATTAAAGAGCTGGCAGGAGTCTTCGAGTAAACAAAGTGAATAAAATATTTCAAGGCAGAGTTCCCCTATACATTGTTACTACTATAAATAAAGAATGTATAGATTCCTTTTGAGAATTAATCAATAGAGTAGCACAAAAGTTAATATTGCGACACAATACATTTATTGATTTTCCTTCCACCGCTACAATTAATTGAACCTGCATGTCTCTGGACTGTGCTAGAAAGCCAGAGAAAACCCACACAGGGGAAAGGATATTCACGCTGTTCCTGTTTGTTTCTTAACCTAATGACATAGTGGGATGAGGGCGTATATTGGAAATAATATTGAGTTATGTGGAACTTAATGCCCAAATAACCAAATCACAATCCCAAAGACTTCCAGTTAAACCAGAGTTCCAGTTAGCAGCCACACCAGCTTTAAGAGGGCTTACCGTCACCGCTTTTACATGTATTATATTACAATTTCAATACAAAACAAGATAACAAACAGCTGGAGAGACAGATGTTGGTTGTTTGAATCACAGGAGTGCTGATTGCTAGAGGGAGAAATGTTTCAAAATCATGTTGAGATTCAAAAGTGCTGCACTTCATGATAATAATACAAATAATAATAATTTGAAAGCCTCATTGAACTGTTGTGTCATGCTGGGCTGCTATTTGCAGAGTGCATCATCCCAAGCCAAACATAACCGGGTGTATGAAGCACAGTGTTGCAATGCCAGAACATAATAAAGTGAAATGAGTCATCTTCCAGTGTTTTCCTCTTGAAGCTCTTTACATTTGAAGGTTTTCCTTCTAGCTGAGATTAGTGAACTGAAGGACAGAAGCTTTTGTGAAGTGCAGCCATCGTGTGACCTTGGTTTCTGAAAGTGTTTCTGATCCTTTGTTGTCCCAATGAACATTCAGTAATTAATGGATTATCCCAAGTACATTTCTCATCCATGTCTACTTCGCTTCACTGCCAAGTGGAGCTCCGCTTCTCCCAGCACACCTGTGGTCTTTAATTGGCAGATTGATTCTGCTGTCTGTAAGCCCGACCACCTGCAGGAAACACCAGACCGACTGGTGGTAAAATGCCAGAGTTACGAAACACCGAGCACACCACATGTGGCTCTGGCCAAATGTCCTGGGAGGAGAACTGACTCAGTGACAAACGATCCATTACAGGTTTGAAAGATGTTCTGGAGAAGAGAGAACCCTTCCCTGACTGTTAAGAAAGCAAAATGAGTCACTGTGCTTTCCTCTGGGCTCAGTATTAGTGCAGAGCTGAAGTGTGAGTGTGTTTCCTCTGCACAGAAGCCAGAGTTGAACCGCCTGGTGTTTGCTCAGGGCAGAGAGAGCGGGAATGTGTGCAGTGTGTGCTCAGGGAGGACTGAGAGGGACACACGCCTACTGCAGCACAATACCAACTCTGAGATACTGTTGTGCTCTCTCAGCATGACTGTTGTATGAGAGATGCTCCGATAAATATTAGTTTCGCTTTATAGATGTTGTTGACCAAGTCAGCCGTACGTCAGCACAGCAGTATCAGGTGGCACAGTTGCTTGGCTGCCAGGATCTTCTGTGTGGTTTTAGCTTTCTGCTTTACATACTCAACTACTTTCCAGTTTATTAAACCTGCAATTAAAACCAATGCAGTGTAATACACTTCCTAGCCTCAGGAAGGTTATCATTTCATTTTTGTTGTTGATTCAAATATATGCTTATTATTATGCGTAATGTTTTTAATGTTATACCTTAAAATAAGATCTTTTTTTAGTTATATGAATAAGGGCCAACTAAATAATTGATTTACAAATATCTTCAATAGCTTTCTTAAAAAAGTTTCACCTGACATTATAATTAAGTGCATATTTACATTTGATTTGAATAAATCTTAAAACATTTGTGTCGTGTACTGACTTTTGATCTTTGAGGTGATATTGTGTTATATTTGTGGTACAGAGTGTTTTTCTGAGGACAACTGGCAGTCCAGAAAGTCACAGTATCATTATGTCAAACGATAAACATTGCAGGTCAGAAAGACAGAATATAAGAAAGCTACTCATTACACCAAAGGTGGGTATTTTAGCTTCCCAGGCTCTAAGGTCAGTCCTCCATCACTGCTGTCCTAGTTATAATATCTCAAGATGTACAGAATTAATTGGCACTGCATTTTTTTTAGAGGGATTTATTCTCCTTCCACCATAAGTTTGACATTTGTGGTTACGAGTGAAACGTTATTCATAGATCCATCCAGTGCCAACATCAAGTCAAAAAGTACCTACTAAATGAGTCACCCTTTCAGCCTCAGCTGCATGTTATGTTAAGGGCTAATTGCAAATGTGAAAGCTAAATGCAAATTCGAGCATGCTAAAACAGTGAAATAAGATGATAGGGAACCTCAGCATATAAGCATTGTCATTGTGATTGTTTTATCATGCTGACATTAGCATTCAGCATTGCTCTGGCCCAATGCAGCCTGACAGAGCTGCATCTTTATATCATTTGTATTTCTTCTATTAAATCCCCATCTTAAGCAAAAGGTGAAGCAACATTTTGTCATTGGCTACAATGCAGCTGCAGTTGAGTTTAATATGCCATAATCACTGATGTCATGGTGTGCCTTTGGTTGCAAATGAAGCTGAGATGAAGTCTGCCGGTTCGTTAGTGCTAATTCATGTAAAGCGAGGGGAAGAGGCGAGAGAAGAGAGGACGAGGATGAAAGGGACAGTAATGAATACGGACTGAAGGAGGCTGGTGTGGGCTTATGCATATCCCTCCACTCCATTCAATTTTTATTTCCTGACTTCATCAGCACAAGCTCTTGCAGAATTGTGTCCCTCAGTGGCTCATATAACCCCATGTTTATTACTTTCCGATCTTCATGGTCGATTTTTATAGACAGCACGGAAAGCCATTTTTGTGCCAATCAGGTTATTCACTGCAGTGCACTGGATCAGGCACTGCAGCTAGATTGATAATTGACTCTGTGTCAGTGTGTGTTCATGTGTAGCATTCAAATCAAATCATTTATCTGACTTAAAGTGGCATCAGGGACACTTAGCAATTCTCCAGCACAGCTACAGTAGGACTGACATTTCATTTCGTCACACTGTTCCCTATGGTTAATTTGTCATAATGCAGGCAGCTGTATCTAATGTTATAGAGACATTACATATAAGGTGGTTTAATCCCCAGCGCCTCCTGTCCATATGTCATAGTGTGCTTTTATTAGATATTGAACTACAAACTGTTTAAAATGTGTCTCTGCACTTATCAGAAACAGAAACGCCTTGAGCTAAATGCTAAATGTTTAGCTGGACATTTTAAATATTCTTCACACGTTCCTACCGTGGTGGGTGTCTCCTGGGCTCCAGTCCTGAATATCTTTCTCAAAAGCTTATAATCTTTTAGATCCTTCAACTTTATTCCCCCATCAGCCTCTCAGGAAATATTTCCATCTATGTCCGCCCTCATCATGGTCACGTTGGGTTGTTTTATGCTTCTACTGCTGCTCCATCTAACTGATAGTTGTTCATATATTTAGTCTAGACCAGAGTTGAGGATAGACATACTGACATTTCCATCCCTACAGCCTCGCCACTCGTATAGCTAAAATGTCAGACTCTTTCGAGCAAAAGTCTCCAAATCCCAATTAATATTATGTGGATGTGTGCTTTGGCACGCAGGTGTGCATCTAATTAGAACAAGTATAGTCATTAAATGAGGAAAAGATAGATCTCTGCAACGAGAAGCTGAGACATGTGGGTGTTGTGCTTTGAATGTCAGGCTTGGAGTCTAATTGTGTGCTTGTTAAGCTGCTGTGGAGCTTTTAAATGTCCACTAATTATTTGCTTCCTCGTGAAATCCTGTCAATCATTTTTGTATTATAATAATTGGATTTTTTAACGCTGGCATAAAAAAAAAAAAAATGTAACCAGGAATAATGCCAGCCAAGTTTTACTAGCTTTTTTCTTGTGTCTGTTTGACGTCATATAGGCTTCCTGAGAGGGGTCCCCTCTTGTCAGCCCGAAGAAACAGAAGACCAGAGGAGATCACACTGAAACACTGGAAGGACAAAGTTCAGACCATGCCAGTGATCCAATCTCAAGCCGAAAATTACTGAAAGCGTTTTCCAGCATAATGTAGTTCTCTCTAAACCTCCTCCATGCAACATCTTTGCTCGGCTGATTTCACCGGCAGTGTGTAGACTGAAGGACCAATGGAGCAGGTCGGGGAGGATCTGAACCTCTCCTATCTGCTGGAACATGAGAGAGACATGATCCTGAAGGTGCTGCAGAAAGATGAGAAATTGAGGAAGCGTGAGGAGAAGAGGATAAGGTAAGTACTTCAGCATCACCTTTTAAACTGTTCATCTCACTCAATTTCCTTAATGCCCCTTCTTCTTTTTTTTCCCTCAGAAAGCTGAAAAATGAGTTGCTGGAAATCAAACGAAAAGGGTCCCGTCGGCAACAGGAGCTCGGGGAGCGACAGTGCGCTCGCTGCCTCAAGAGTTTGGGACTTATCTTTGACCGTGGGGATCTCTGCGAGGAGTGTCAGCTGCGCGTCTGCAATGACTGCCAGGTTTCAACTCCGAAAGCACGCCAGTGGAGGTGTAGCATTTGTGCTAAGATTTCGTAAGTGCCATGCCCGCCAAGGACCAGAACAGCTTAGTGTTTAGAAGAGGAATGGACTCCAGATGGCTAGCATCAGATGGTTAATGACACACCTCTGTCTCCATTTGTCTGTGAGGGCCTTGGGTGTTTCAGGGCTGCCATCTTCTACATGGCTTTAAAGAATAATCCACCAAACTAAACATATTAAAGGAAACCTATCATGCTATATTTAAATGATATATTGTAGGGCCATACCTATATAAGGTATATTTATACGTTTCTGTTTTCAAAATACCAAACAGATCATGCATTTTAGCCATGCCTCATTTCGCTCTATGTGCTGTTTGCTGTCTACGGGTCTGATTCTGCTGACCACGCCCCCCTGCAGGAGAGGGGAGACGTGCTCTGATCAGCTGCTGAGCTGTCAGAAGAGGGGGAGGAAAAGAGATCTCCGTGTTTTATTATATAGAGTCGTTATTCATTTGTTTTAAAGCTCAATAAATAACAAAGAAGACCTTTGACCGGCACTTTTCTAATTTTGTCCGGAAGATTTAAACTTTAACGGACATCTTGACCGGCGAAACAAACTGAAACTGAAACTCTGCCGCACGGTCCCCTCGTTCCTTGGAAGAGGCGGAGAGGTGGGTGTTTGTCATCTGCTGGTGGACTAACCGGAGAGAATTACAGTGCTTGCCTCGACGGGGAGGGATTGCATTGCAGCGGGAGCAAACGCTTGCCTCGGGGAGGGAGAAAGAAAGCCACAGCGGAGAATAAACAGAAGGGTAACCATGGTAACCAAGTCTTCTTCACTGCTTTTGTGGCAGACTACAGCGCCACTTACAGGCCTGGCATATGTACTACAGCGTCTCCAGCGCTTTCGAACGGCAATGGCCGTGGCTGTCTCCTCCTGATTGGTGGAGTTGGCCCAATAGCCGTAGCGCCACCGTCCTGACGTCAGGACAGTGTTCAAATCTGGATCAGTTTTTATCAGATCCGTTGCAGCCCCTTTTTTAGAGATTTGGGTATGGAGGAAAATAGAGAGGGTTGTGTTTTCTGACACTTGGTGAGTTCCCTGGAACACCGGGGACACATATTCATGTATAAAAGACGTACAAAAGTGCATTTTGCATGATAGGTCCCCTTTAAGTGTTTGTGGTGTCTGTTAAAATACCATCAATCCCGGAAGTAGCAGAGATGGGAATTAATTATTTGCAGCCAGTATACAAAAAATACACTATGTCTACAAGATGTTTTTGAGTCTGTAAGTGCAAGAAGTAACACTTTTTTTAAACTTTGGCTCTCCTGCTCATAGCATGCAAATGTTTTAGCTCTTTACACCTACACAAGAAACCTAGGGCTAAAGAACATAATGCAGAAAATCACCATTTGAAACTTAAGCAGACAGATGGAGGGAAAGTCATTCTTCATTCAGACCTGCAGGTCCTGAAAGTCTGACAAAGAAGTTATTTACAAAGATTTGTATTTGTGTTTTTGTATCTCACAGTAGGAAGTTAAGTTGGTTACAAAGGTTTTTCGTAAACTTATTTTATTCTAAATAATTTGTGTTCAAAAAACACATTCTTTTAAATATTGGTTAATCCATCCATCCATTTCCTGTTGTTATGAGAAAGTCATGATTAATGATATGATTAGGAATTAATGTAGCACACAGCTGGTGAGTTCTGATAATATTGTGATGTTAAGACCTCTATACACTTGCGTAAGAGATAAATGCTATATTATACCTGCTGGTTTTCTTTCATATCTTTTGTTATAACGGTGAAACGGGTATTCAATTGTATTCGACATGCTTATAAAGAACTCATTGTAGTCTTTTTTTGTACTTATTGAACACATATCCCAAGTAATTTACTGATTTATGATATCCCAAAGCTTTGGTGTGTTTCTCATTAAGTGTATTGAGTGAGGCGGGCGTTGTGTTTGCAGGGAGCTGAAGGTGGTGACGGGCGAATGGTTCCTGGAGGAGCGGTCAAAGCGCTTCGAGCAGGGAGTGCCGAGCGGTGACGTGATCAAACAGACCATCCTGAGTAGCCCGACCAGTGAGTGACACCTCTAATGCTCTGTTACCCAAACAATAATGATATTTGAAGTAGTGTAGGACATTTTCATTAATGTTTTTGATGTTTTTGATCACCAGTCACAGACATAAAGTCGACAGAAAACCTGTCAGCCACTTCTGAGCCAGAGAAAGCCGACACCCCCAAATCCAAAAGAAATGCTGTACTGAACATTGTGGATGGGGCCAGGAGGAAAGGGTAAGCAGTGGAAATACAGAACAAAACAGCTCAATTTATGTTCATGCAAACATATATTCTGAATTAAAATGTTTACTCTCATAAAATATGCAAAATATGCAGTAAGATGTAAGCAGAGAGCAGGCAGTGTAAAATATACTCAAACTATATGTGATAGAAATCAGCAGTGTGTTGAAGACTCACTTCAGTACAAAGGCATTAGAAAGATCAGTTGGATGTTTATTTGATTTAACAGAGACCCTGAATGCATTTGGAAATACATCTGGCCGAGCAGAACAGCAGTAATTGAATTGTGTAGGCTAGCATTGCTCCTCTTCTCGGCTGCACACTGATGGTTCCTGAAGGCATCACAGTGATTCAGACTGAGAAGCAATATGCACAACAAATGCATTTTACAACACAAAGTTTAGTTATAGTGATGGATAATCTTGCAGGTATTTGGTCATAATTGATCATATAAAAACATAAAGCTGGATATATGCCTGTAACAGAAGTTGTGGCAGTCCATCCCGTAGATATTGGGATTCGTTAGTCAGGAGTCAGGACCAAAGTGTTAGACCAACTGATAAACCAACCTTGTCTCTGCAGCCATTGTCGGAGTTGACTACAATGTAGAATAACATTTTAGTCATCCGGCTAACTTCAAGAAATAGAAAAAAACGGGAAACAATACAACCTTCGTGAAAATAATTTAAAACAATTGAGTTAATTTGATTGTACGTTCCTCTTTAACTAGATTTCCTTTGCTGTTTGTAGAGTTAAGATAAATATAGGGGAGAAAAAAAAACTCTCTTTTTGTGCGTGTGTGTGTGTAGAAGGATGAAGATGGAGAAAAAAGCAAACCGAAAGGCCATGAAGCCGGAGAACGGAGTTGACAGCGCCTGTGTCAAAACGGTTTCGGATGGAGATGCTCAAAGCGTGCGAAGTGTTTGCTCTGCTCCGAGTCCACGCTCAAACAGGTGTCCATCCCCACGAGTCACAAACAGACATATAAACATTTAAAAGTGTATATTTATTTATTCTCAAAGCACAGTCACACAAAGATCTACTGAGAAATAAATTAAAACAAAACCGAAGACACAAAAGTAACGCCAATGATATCAATGCTGTGTCAGAGCAATTCACTGAAGCTTTAAACATGTTTTTATATAAATAATCAATCTCTCAGCACTGACACAGCCTCATGTCAGTGTCAAGTCAACAGAGACTTCACATTTGAGTATTTACTTATCTCAAAACTGGTTGATATCTCTTTGAAAATTAAACACTTCCAGGCCTCAAGGCAAAGCAGTTCAATGACTAAAGAAGAAACAAACATAAAATAAAAATCCAGAGATATCCTTGACAGTCCATAAAAGCTCAATCACATAAAAAAATCTCTTGGTTTCTGAGTGCCTTTTATTTAGGCAGCCAAAGAGCATCAGGCAGGTACAACTTAAATCCTTGATGACTAAAAGCTAAAAGTGTCCACTTTAAATGTCTGTGGTGTTAAACTTATTGATGACAGGTTTCTCTCTGGTTCTCAGGGGCAGTGTGGTGGCCTTGGAGTCCTCGGGGGTTCCTACCGTACCCAACAACCTGCGCTCACACACTCCGGACAGATCCTCCACTCTCAGCGACAGCCGGAGGGTCAGGGTCAGCAAATCATACACAAGCACACAAACAGCAACACACCAGGGACAACTAGGCGGATTGTTTTAACAGCTTAGGTGTGTTTGATTTGTGTGTGCACACAGCCTGATGGAGCAGAGAGCGTTACCAGTGTAAACTCCAGTGACAGTGTGCCTGAGACAAAAGCTACCGGCCATGAGAGGAAGGATTCAGGGACCCCGACCATTTCTGTGTCCCGAGCCTCAGTTTCATCAGGTACCTCACTACAGCACACACTCGCTTTGTGTTTTTGTCTCACCTTGAGCTCCTGCTGTTGCCACACAGCTTCATAGCGCTCAACCATTGTTTTTTTTAAATCACTGTTTCGGCTCTTTCCCAGCTCTCTGCTCGCTAACTTGTAAATCTTGTAAAGGACAAAATTCGACTTCTGTCCGGAGCAAATGTCACATCTTCACTAATACCACTATTACCTTACTCCCCTCTGTCTATCTGCTGCTCTTCTGTTGAACTCTAAAGTATAATCTCTTCCAATTTGTCTCTCAGTGCCAGAGCCTTTATCTCTACTAGTAACGGCTCAGGAGTGTGTCGAGTTTTTCTGAAGTGGCTACGATTACTGTGGTTAAAGGTCCACTCACGGCTACAGATGTGTCAGACCTTATTATCCCTATTATAAATACTAAAAATAGTTCATTATAATTAACATAGAAATATGCTACCACAAGTCACACTCATTTAATGAATCACTTTATTCAAACATACGATTTTTCTTGGATGTTTGTTTGCTTTGAAGGCTTATTCGACAACCTCAATATAGGCTCTGAATGTACCAGCCCTTAAATCATCATCATCAGCCCCCTGTGGTTAAATGGAAAACAGTTCATCGGTTGGTTTCGGAGGGTGTCATGAGAAATAAAGTAATAATTCAGACGGGCCTTTACAAGTATTCATCTGTGTCTCTAGGGTAGGGCTTACATTCTCCATACAGAGGATGATAAGGACACTTTAATCTCTAGCCTCAGAAATTGCTTATTTATGAAAAATATTATTCAGATCAGGCATTTTAACACCAATGCTCTAACTGGGCACTTTGACTATATGTTACAAGCTGCATGTCTTGCACATTATATGGAGTGTTATCATGGTCCAGATAACTAGTTATAATGGTTAGTTTCTCCGCTCTCTTTTACTGTCTGCTTGCATTTTGTCTGTGTTTGCCTTCCAGCCCCTCGCTCCCTTCAAACCGCATCTTTGAAACATTTATTTTTCTTCTCTCCTCCTCTGCTTCGCCCCGTCTCCCTCTCTCCTCTCTGCACCAGATCACAGCCGCTCAGAGATGGACCTGTCAGCAGCGGGGTCTGAACCCAGCGAGGACGCCTTCAGTCTCAGGAGCCGCTCCGTCCCCGGCCTAAACGAATCTGTGAGCGCCATCATCCCGTCTTTCTCCTTCAGCTGAATCTCTGCACACTGATCACATATTAGCACATTCACCACAGGACCACAAATCCAGCAGAAGCACACATTCTGTTAGATTTTCAGTCTCTTTTTGGAATACATAGATCTACTAAACCATGTGTCCATATCGAGCTCAGGATCTGTGAACTCAAAGTAAAGCATCACATGTGGAGTTGAATGTTAATTTCACTTCAAAGAGCATGACAAACATCTAAACGTCTGTAGGCTGATAACAGGTGGAGGATCTGATGGTCGGTATAGAGCTGCTTTGTCTTTGTGCTAATTTGCATTCAACGGGCTGGCACTCGCACACATTTTTATATTCACTCATCCATTCATGATCACAGGTTTACTATAAACCCAATGACATTGTGATTTCACGCGACTACACAAATTGCCCACTCTGTCCCGCCTTGTCTGGTTGAATTGATGGGAGCTGGCTGCATCCTCCCACACAGAGCTGCTGTATAAAGTACAAAGATGCTTTGGCCAGCTTCCCGTACCAACCTCCCCTTTTGATTAAACCTGAATGCTGTCATCCGCAGGAGTTTTCTGATGAGGACGCAGAGGAAGACATCGATGCCCTGATGTCGGCTCACAGCAAGGCTCCCAGCCGGCGCATCAGCAACGCACTCTCATCGGTAAAACCTGTGTTCAAACTAGTACAAATGTAAGAGTGTCATAGAAGCCGATTTTATACACTGTATGCCATATAACAGCAATGTTTCAGGTTCAATGAAGGACTTATATGTCGTACCCTCTCTCTTTCTTCTCTATTTGTACACTGTCCTTTGTCATTTAAAGGCAAAAAATCCCCCCCAAAGAAAACAAACAGAGATTCTTGGAAGTCCTGTATATTCACACACAGTAATAACATGTACATGTACACATAGACTCTTCATCACCTGATGTGTGTATCAGGTGTCTGCTCTGTTGTTGACTCAGTAAACATAGTGTGTGTGTTTTGGGGCAGCGTGTGACACGAACACCTGCTGCTGCACACTTTGGGACAACTGCTGCCTTCAGGACTACTATGTATTTGTATATCCTAGTAGTATGTAGTATTTTAAGCAGAAAAACCTACATATTATATCACCTACCCAACTTAACTTGTGCCCGAGCGTTTAGATTTGTGTCAGTGATGTTGTTTTTTTATCACACGCATCTTAAATTGGTTGTCTTTGATTACCATGTTTACACTTGGGTACTTAGTCTGGCAGAAATTCTAGTTATTCAAATGGCCTGAATAATTGGCTTATTTCCTGACTCATACCATGGTCTTTGTTCGGTGTGTGTGTGTTTGTTTGTGTAAAGATCCTCACAGATAAACAGGCGAGACAGACGTCCTGCCTGTCTGACATTTACCATGTCATCTCATAAGTGACTAACAGCCGTCACCGATCCTCTGTTTTCAGTATGAATGGAAGTGGAGGGAGGTGATGAGGGACACTATGCAGATAGCCTGAAGTTGAATGGCGCTCTAATGCACTCGGCCCACTGTTGCATGATTCACCTCACGCAGGGCTATGGATAGATGATAAAAGCACAACTGAAGTTGGTGCCATTTATGTAACAGTGCAATTTCCGTCATTGGTTAGACCTTTATTTTCATTCTGGGAGAAAAAATATATAATTATTTGTTTTCTCGTGCCTCTCAGGGCTTCCGTAGTTTAGTATGTTGTTTTGGTCATAAAACAAGATGACAAATTAAATCCATCCAGCAGTTGTCACGACTCAAAAACACAAATAAAAACCTGCTGGTAATATTTCAGTCTCTATCATCACTCTTAAATATATAAAATAATATATACAAATCTTTATACAGTATATATCATGATTTCATAGACATAGTAAACTATATGGAATACTTTCGTACACTTGTGTGTGTGTGTGTGTGTGTGTGTGTGTGTGTGTGTGTGTGTGTGTGTGTGTGTGTGTGTTGTGTGTGGTGTGTGTGTGTGTGTGTGTGTGTGTGTGTGTGTGTGTGTGGTGTGTGTGGTGTGTGTGTGTGTGTGTGTGTGTGTGTGTGTGTGTGTGTGTGTGTGTGTGTGTGTGTTCAGTTTGCTGGTTCCAGATGAGTTGTATTCTCTGTGGTTCCATCTGATAATCACCATGGTAACCGTGTGTAATGTGGTTTCTGGCTGTGCTGCTGCAGACGGGGTTTGAGCAGCTCCTCCTGGGGGCTGGGGGGGTCTGTGCTCGGGGTCTGTCTTTATCACTAACACATCAAAGAGCTCAGATCTCTCTCTCCTTCTCCTCTCTCTCCTTCCTTCCTGCCCCCTGTTATCTCATAAATGAATCGCTGCTAGTGTTCCACCCCAGGCTCAGAGAGGAGGTGGGGGCACCTCAATGTCCCCGACTCGGACGCTGAGACCGTAAGATTCAACGTTTCTGCATGCATTTATATTCACCACATTATAACAATGAGAATCAGGGCTAGGCGATGTGACCAAACTCTTCTATCAAGATATAGATCATTTGTTAATCTTCATAACAACATATATCATGGCTACAGAAACTATTGCATGTTTTTTTGTAATTCAATAAATAATGTTTCAGGAAAATATTTTCTCATCAGATTAAGAACTAAGTACAAAATGCTGGCCATGTTTACATAGTTTACATGCACACAAATGAAGATTATTCCGATTGGGACATTAGTTTGATTTAACAACACTGAAGTATTCCCATAAATTCCTGTGTGTGGGGTGCAGGAGTTGAACAATAAGGCTGAACGAATAAAGCACACTCCTGTTGGAAAACATTTAACTATAATTGATCTAGGATTGATATAGGATTTCAACACAATATGGTTCCATTGAAAGACTATAAATGAGTATACTGAACAATCGCCCAGCCCTGGTTAACATGCAGCAGAAAAGCAAATACACACCTACAGAATTCATTAATGTATGCTGAGGTTTCCTGAATATACCACTATGTTAAGTTTGGCTTTGCTTTTCAATGTGATGTTACAGTAGCTACATCTTCTTCCATTAAGTCTAAGCTCCTCATTATTTCTGTAGTCATTAATCACACTGGCTCCCAGCAGGATTTAAGTGCGGTAGATTTTCCAGCAGAAGGTGCACAGCGTGGCTCAATTCTCGCTTTCTTTCTTTCCTCAACACTTTTCATACAGACATATTATTTAGAGTGGATTATACCAGTTAAATCCTGTCCAGAGCTACAACACTCGTGTGTCGGACAAAACTACCTGCTGTGCTTTTACTAATTTAGAGTCTTTTGTTGGTGAAAGTTGTTCTGCAGGTACACAGTTTGAGGAATATGCTCTCCAAGCTCTTTAATTTGGTAGTCTATATGAACTCAGGAGGTGTTGCCTCAGGCCGACACACTCACTGTTCGAGAGAAAATGTAAAGATAACTTTCTGGATGTTACTGGTTATATCATACCAATTGTCAGTTTTCACTGTTCTTACAAACTGTTTTCACTTTCTTTTACCTGTTTGTCTTTTGAATTCATGTTCATTTACAGTTTTTTCTTCAGATTTGACACTTCCTTCCTTTTATGTAATCTGTTTATTATTTGACCACATGTTTTTCTCTTGAGCTGAAGCGATGAGTTGTCAAAATAATTTTTCTATCCTAAATTTCTTAGCTCCACTACATAAGTTCTGATTATGTACCACATTTACATGACATAATATGTAAAAATAAATTGAATAGGTTCTGGATTTCGAAAAAAGAGGTCATTTGGTATTTAAAAAGCCAAAACGATTTTAAAATTAGGAAAATAATTGACAGGTTTATCAATAAGAAATAGTTATAAGTTGCAGTATTACGTGCTTTCAGATTGAAATCAAAACCAAGACATCAACATAGTTATCAGATCAGAGTTTTTTAGAGAAAAAGAAAAGGAAGACTCACAATATACTGAGTGAAACTGCAGAAGCATAAATCCCAAATGGAAATCAGTGTCTGTAATATTCTTCCACCTCGCCCTTGCTCTTGTTAATTCATGAAAGAAATAATGTAGTCAAGTTTTCTGCTTTATCACAAATCCTTTCATATGCAGTCACCTTTTAAGAACTCATTCCCAAAATGAATAATTCACCATCCATCCTGCTATGATTATTTTTTAGACCCAAGCACAGATTATTAACTTATTTTTGATATCAGATGTTGAAAACCTTTTTTTTATCCAGGTAAGCTTCCCTAAGAGCAATGCGCACATTCTCTTATATCCAAGAGTAATATCATTTCCCCTTTGAGTGCAAGAGGCCTTTGAATCGCGTGAACTCTGAGGTCTGCAGTATTGGACCGCCTGTGGGCACAGATGACATTTTAAAGGGCATGAGCCTTACTCTAAAAGAATAGTTTGGATGTTTTGAAGATGGGTTGTATAAGATTCCTATCCATAGTCAGTGCACTATTCACCACCACTCAAGGGAAACAGACATGACTTCAGGAACAGGATGTACTGCTGTGGAAGGGGGTATCCGAAAAAACACATTTGTCCCCCTAAAATAAAGGCTAATCTTAATAAACCAGTTTGATTGTGGGCCATTTTTAGATTATTTTTAGAAGTACATAAAGCCACCATTCCATTGACTAAAACAGTGGTTTAACCTTACAGAACTGTAATAGTTGATAGTCTACCTTTGCCCTGATCGGTAACTTTGTTTTATTTTTTCTGTCTCTTTAAGACCCCAAAAAACACAAAATATATTTCGAGGCAGCTTTGGCTACCTCTGTGTGCATCAAGGTCAAATAACTTTTTCGTCAATGGAGTCTGTGTTACGGTTTTGTATTTATGTTTTCATTTTCCACCTTTTGTTTTGAAATGTTTTCCTCCTTGTGTCTTCTCTGTTCCTTCTTCCTGTGTTTGCCTTCCTGTCATTAGTTCCCCTGGTGTGTCTGATTGTCTGATTGTGTTCACCTGTTGCCCTTGTGTTTCTGCCTCTCTTACCCCAGCTGTGTCTTGTCTTGTGATTACCCCTCCCTGTATTTAGTCTTGTCTCTTCCTGTGTTCCCCTGTCGGTTCATTGTTGGTTTTTCCTGTCTTCCTCCATGTCAGTCACGGTTGTCTCTCCTGTCTCCCTCCATGTGGGTCACGGTCAGTTTTTTGTACAACCCATTTGTTTCATGCCTTGTTTTGATCAGCTTTTAAAATAAAGCTCGCTTTTTGTTACGAGACCTGTTACCTTTTTGATAGTCTGCATTTGGGTCCTACCCTTCCACGCCATCCTAACAGAATGAACCGACCAGCTTTGGACTCAGCAGACTCAGATCGTTTTGCTCGACAGGCAGAATGTCTTGGGTACTCTCTGGAGTACATTTTTTATACTTGGAATGGCGCCTCTTCTAGACGTGGTAGAGAGGCTGCGTTGAAGGAGGCACGTCAGGAGGTTGCTCGCCAGCCCTGGCTTAGGAGCATGTTGCCTGAGTGGCTACAACTTTTCACAAGTAGTCCTGAGGACTTGTCCGAAGCCTCTAACCCTTTCCTGGGGTATATGACCAGGCCTGGGGAGGCCCACAGATCCTCCAAAGAATCTCTAGGAGACGCAAGACCAAGATTCCAGCCCGTGCTCCAGTGGTTCCAGCTCCATTCTCTGGCCCTTTTTTGGGATCCCGCCTGGCGTTTGGAGGTCCACGGAGCCTCCAGGGGGCCTCGGAGAAACGCAAGGTCGGGAGGCCGGCTCGTGGTCCAGTACCGGCCCACACAGCCATGGATCCGTGCACCAGTACCGGCCCACACAGCCATGCTTCCGTGCTCCATTACCTGGCTCACACAGCCAGGGTCCAGGCTTCTGTTCCGTGCCCAGCAGCCATAGTCACTGCTCCAGAACCGGACCTTACAGTCATGTTTCCGTGTTCCAGTGCCGGTCCACACAGTCATGGTACCGTGCTCCAGTACCATCCCACACAGCCATGGTTCCGTGTTCCGGTTCCGTGCCCAGCAGCCATGGTGCCTGCTCTAGTACCGGCCCACACAGCCATGGTTCCGGCTCCAGAACCGGCCCATACAGCCATGGTTCCAGCCCCAGTTCTGGCCCCAGCAGCCATGGTTCCGGCCCCAGTTCCGGCCCCAGCAGCCATGGTTCCGGCCCCAGCAGCCATGGTTCCGGCCCCTGTTCCGGTCCCAGCAGCCATGGTCCCGACTTCAGTTTCGGCTCCAGTACTGGCTCCCCGGCCGACGCCAGCCCCCCGTGTCCTGTCGGTGGTCCGGCCGACTCCAGCACCTCGTGTCCTGTCGGTGGTCCGGCCGACTCCAGCGCCTCGTGTCCTGTCGGTGGTCCGGCCGACTCCAGCACCCCGTCTCCTGTCGGTGGTCCGGCCGACTCCAGCACCCTCGTGTCCTGTCGGTGGTCCGGCCGACTCCAGCACCTCGTGTCCTGTCGGTGGTCCGGCCGACTCCAGCACCTCGTGTCCTGTCGGTGGTCCGGCCGACTCCAGCACCTCGTGTCCTGTCGGTGGTCCGGCCGACTCCAGCACCTCGTGTCCTGTCGGTGGTCCGGCAAACTCCGGCCCCCCGTGTTTTGTCAGTGGTTCGGCCCACTCCAGCCCCTTGTGTTCCGTCGGTGGTCCGGCCGACTCCAGCACCCCGTGTCCTGTTGGCTCTATGGCCGACGCCTACCCTATGTCCTGTGCCGTTGGGGGTCCCGCCGACTACTCTTCTGCCGGGGGTCCTGCCAACCCTATGTCCTGTGCCGTTGGGGGTCCCGCCGACTACTCTTCTGCCGGGGGTCCTGCCAACTCTATGTCCTGTGCTGTTGGAGGTCCCGCCGACTACTCTCCTGCCGGGAGTCTTGCCAACTCCATGTCCTGTCCCATTGGGGGTCCCGCCGACTACTCTTCTGCCGGGGGTCTTGCCAATCCTATGTCCTGTCCCGTTGGGGGTCCCACCGACTACTCTTCTGCCGGGGGTCCTGCCAACCCTATGTCCTGTGCCGTTGGAGGTCCCGCCGACTACTCTTCTGCCGGGGGTCCTGCCAACCCTATGTCCTGTGCCGTTGGAGGTCCCGCCGACTACTCTTCTGCCGGGGGTCTTGCCAATCCTATGTCCTGTCCCGTTGGGGGTCCCGCCGACTACTCTTCTGCCGGGGGTCCTGCCAACCCTATGTCCTGTGCTGTTGGAGGTCCCACCGACTACTCTCCTGCCGGGGGTCTTGCCAACCCTGTGTCATGTGCCGTTGGTGGTTCAGCTGTGGGTCCTGCCAACCCCATGTCCTGTCCCGTTGGGGGTCCCGCCGACTACTGCTCCGCCAGGTTTCCTGCCAACTCTGTGTCCTGTTCCGTTGGAGGTCCAGTCGACACCAGCCCTTGCTCCATCCGGGGTCCCATTGACACCAGTCCATGTCATGTCCAGGATCCCGTCTACGCCTGTTCCGTCGGCTCCGGTTCCTGTCTGGCCGACAACGGGTCCTGCCCGGCCTCCGGAGCTGTCCCGTCAGCGCCTTCCTGCCCGGCCCCCTGAGTGCCGGGGCCTTCGCCCTCGAGCTCGGCCCCCTGATTTCCCCAGCCGTGGCCTTCGCCCTCGAGCCCGGCCTCCTGACGCTTTCAGCCGCTGCCTTTGCTCTCATGCCCGGCCCCCTGAGTTCGCCCGCTGTGGTCTTCGCCCTTTTTTGAACTCTGCCTTGCCCCCGGGCCGTCCGCCCGAGACCCCCTCCTTGATCTCTGCCTTGCCCCCGGGCCGTCCGCCCGAGACCCCTTCCGGGTCCTCCGCTGTGCCCCTGGGCTGTCAGCCCAAACCCGTCCTCCAGACCCCCTCCACCCACCCTGCTGGAATGTTTTGGACTTTTGGGGGTTTTCTTGGGACGTCTGGAATCCGTCCCTTGAGGGGGGGGTTCTGTTACGGTTTTGTATTTATGTTTTCATTTTCCACCTTTTGTTTTGAAATGTTTTCCTCCTTGTGTCTTCTCTGTTCCTTCTTCCTGTGTTTGCCTTCCTGTCATTAGTTCCCCTGGTGTGTCTGATTGTCTGATTGTGTTCACCTGTTGCCCTTGTGTTTCTGCCTCTCTTACCCCAGCTGTGTCTTGTCTTGTGATTACCCCTCCCTGTATTTAGTCTTGTCTCTTCCTGTGTTCCCCTGTCGGTTCATTGTTGGTTTTTCCTGTCTTCCTCCATGTCAGTCACGGTTGTCTCTCCTGTCTCCCTCCATGTGGGTCACGGTCAGTTTTTTGTACAACCCATTTGTTTCATGCCTTGTTTTGATCAGCTTTTAAAATAAAGCTCGCTTTTTGTTACGAGACCTGTTACCTTTTTGATAGTCTGCATTTGGGTCCTACCCTTCCACGCCATCCTAACAGTCTGGTGGCGCTTTTGCAAGACCATAAATGGATATAACAGTTTAGGTTCCCTGTCAGAAATGTCTGACGCCAAGGAAAAGCTGCGAAATGATATATTAAATATATTACATTACATTACATGTCACTTGTTAGACGCTTTTATCCAAAGCGACTTACATACTCAATACTGTGGACAATCCCCACAGGAGCAATTTGGGGTGAAGTGTCTTGCCCAGGGACACAATGACATGCTGACTGCAGTGGGGTTTGAACCTGTAACCCCCTGATCCGAACACCTACGCACAATCCACTGCGTCACACGCCTCCTATATATCAATATACATGTTGCTTAGTTTCTCCATAGTGGGGGCTTGCCTACGTTAATTTGCTTTAGGTATTACAGTCACTACAAACAAGTACCTCATACAACCCCCTTTAAAATCCTAACAATCACTTTGACGTGACCATGTATTGCCACAGATTCAAATTCATTAAGGTTGCTTTATTTCTACCGTAATTCATCAGCGTTCATCGGTACTTCAGATGTTTTCTTTATTTGTCATTTTTTGCTTTCCACACCTGTTCAACTCTCCTTGACCTCTCCACCTCTAACATCTCACCCTCTCTTCTCTCCGGTCTTCGCCCAACAGAGTAGTATAAACAGCATGATGAGCATGTACAGTGAGACTGGTGACTATGGCAACGCCCGGGTGAGCGGAGAGATCCTGCTGAACATCAGCTACAGCTACAAAACTGGTGCCCTCAATGTCCTGGTGAAGGAGTGCCACAACCTGGCAACCGGAGACGAGAGGAGGCAGCGCACGGACTCGTAAGAAAAACAAATAACACTCATGACTAGTAGGTTAAAAAACAATTTCACTCCAAGGTCCATTTACAGTTTTTTTCCTAATGCTGGCTTAAAAATCTAAGCATTACAGTTCAAATGCTCTTTTTAGTATAAAAGATGTATCTTCTTTTTGTGTTTATTTATGTTGTTCTTGAATCTTGGTTTTATATTCTTACTGTTATATACACCAGTTAAGTCCAAGTATTAGTTCAAGTGTTATCGACAGTGTTTTATATATAGTGTTTAACAGTATTTTTATAGCTATTATTTATATCGATTTATTATTTCCATTTAATTTTGCTGTCAAAAATGTCTTAAATATTTGCCCGTTCAATATTTACTGAAAGAAAACAGGGCCACTGATCATTTACGTTGTTCGTATAAGCAAGGATTAATGGTGTCCGTCTCCATCTGAGGAGCAGACTGAGCCACTGTGTTTCTCTCCTGTCAGATATGTGAAGACGTACCTGCTGCCAGACACATCACGACAGAGCAAGAGGAAGACGAGCATCAAGGCCAACACCATCAACCCTGTCTTCAATGAGAATCTGAGGGTAGATATTTACAACAGTATTCTGTGATTTCAAGTTGCTGAATTCAAACATTTTAAATAATGAAGCCCCTGTTGTTCCTGTGCAGTACGTGATCAGCCACTCGCAGCTGGAGACTCGGACCCTGCAGCTCTCCGTGTGGCACCACGACCGCTTCGGACACAACAGCTTCCTGGGAGAGGTGGAGCTGACCTTTGACTCCTGGGAGTTTGATTCCCAGATGGAGGATTGGTACACTCTGCAGCCTAAGGTAGAAACCACAACAAGCACATTGCCAAGCATCTCGTTGTTGTCTTCTCCTCCTTCTTCTTTGTAATTGTGAATGATGATTGTGTAGGTGGAGAGCAATATAGACTGCACCATGCAGTATAAAGGAGAGCTGACCGTCGTGTTGAAGTACATTCCTGCAGAGAAGAACCTCACGCTGCCCCTGGACCAAGTACAAGGTACATTCATCACTGTGATGACCATTATATATCACATTATTTATCATGCTGTAACTGTATCTCCTATTGTGTGAAACACTTCTTGAATAAGTACCTCAAAAGATGGCCAGATCTTTTAATCTTGTTTTTTACAAAACTTTGTTGGGAAACTTTCTGACCTCTACTAGAAATTAAAGTAATGTTTTTCTGGCTTTAGTTTGACCAATAATTGCCTGCACAGCGGGAGTTTGTAATAATGAGTGACTTGCCACTGAAAGGCTGCTTGTTAACTGGGTGTAACGTAACTTTTCAACTCAGTTATATTTTTAATTGCTGCTGCTAGGATGCGGCAGCGATGAAAGAAATAGTCCCGAATTGCACTGATGCTGCTTGTGTATTTAATTCATTTATTAGTTAAATATACAGTAGGTTGTTATTTTTTAAAGGACAAAACATACATGCTTATAATCACAAGAACATGTCCTGGGTGTATGTGCTTAGCATCTGTACCAAGAAGGTGCATGTTTGTGGAGCAAATATTTTCTTTATGTAAACAACCCAAAGCCTTTGAAATTGAAGTATTCTCTTTCTTCCCTCCCTCAGTAAAGAAAGGCTTCCTGAAAAGCAAGAAGGCGAGCAGCTTCACTTTGCCTAAAGGGGGCATGGTCGAGCTGCTGGTCAAAGGAGCCAAAAACCTGACTGCTGTCAAGTCTGGAGGAACTTCAGATCCTTTTGTGAAAGGGTGAGACGCTGCATTCAGGGGCGGGTTGGAAACTTTTGAATGGGGGCCAGGCTGGGAAACGGTTTTAAAGAAGCGGGGTTCATTTGTTTTTTATTGTGTCTTTGTGGTCATTTTGCTTCTCTTTATGTTTTAGTTTCTGCTGTAGTTTTGCAACTGTTTGCGGCTTTACAGCTTCTCTTGTGTTTTGATTTGCCAATCTCTGTGGCTGTTCTGGTTTTCTTTGTGGTTCTTATGTGTTACAGTGTGGTTGTGTTGCTCAGCTGTATCTAGTTGCTTTGGGTAAAAGTGTCTGCTAAATAACATGTAATGTAATGTAATCTACTAGTAGCCATTTTGTGGTTCTTAGTACGATTTAGCTTCACTTTGTTATAGTTTTTCTCTTTTGTCTCTTTGTGGTCATTTGATTGCTGTTCTATTGTAAGCAGTCCAGCCGTTTCTGGGCCTGTACCCAGTAGCCTTGTTCAGGAAACCATCCATGATAACAAGAAACCATACCTTACACCTTCTGACTCTGGTAGAGGGAACATCAGGGTTGCTATGCCAGCCTCTGTTTTACTTAAGATGTGATTTGAGAACTGACATTTCTTTTTTCTCCAGATACCTCCTCCCGGACAGCAAGAAGTCAACCAAGCACAAGACGGTGGTGGAGCGGCGCTCTGTGAACCCGCAGTGGAACCACACCTTCACCTACTGCGGCCTGCAGCCCGGAGACCTCAACAACGTCTGCCTGGAGCTCACCGTGTGGGACAAAGAGGCGCTGGCCAGCAACGTCTTCCTGGGAGGGCTCAGGCTGGGAGCTGGCACAGGTGTGTAAAAAGTTCCGGAAAAGAAAAGAATGTTGGAGACATTTTAAGGTCACTGTATTGCACAGAATTTCAAATAAGGTGGTTAACACCCCTGAAACGTTGCACATCTTGCCAATGGCTGAAGAGCTTTACTGAAACTCTGAGGAGGCTGATGCTTTTTATCTGCAAGAAAAAAGAATGTTGTTGTTCAGTTTAGAGCTGGTATTCTTCCTCTGGCTTTTGAAGTTGGCAGATATTCAATATATCAGGGAAAGAAAAAACAGATTGTAGGGTTGTGATTTGGTTGAAGTGGAAAGTGAGGCCCATTTTCTTTTGAATTGTACACACATATTGATCATATTGAGTGTCTATGTTGTATGAAATGGCTTCAACAGAAACCCTGTTTAATATTCTGACGTACGGATGATCAAAACCTGGAAAAGTTTATTTAAAAAAACAACACCTATTCTTTATTTATGTCTTGTAAGTCCCTTATGGTTGCAGGGCACACGCTTCTTTCATTTGTTATAAAGTTAACTTCATCTATTATACAAAACCAGTGTTGAGAGATTGTCAATGTCCTCCGGGCTCTTTATTAGTTCCAACAAAGTAAAACAAATGTTTATGTGCTTGTCCCTTTTCTGCTCAAGGTAAAAGCTACGGGAACGATGTTGACTGGATGGACTCATACGGGGAGGAACAGCGGCTGTGGCAACGCATGATTGAAAAGCCAGAAGTCCCTCATGAGTGTACTCTGATGCTTCGATCCAGCATGCGAAGTTGCAACACATGAGCCGGATCTAAGCACAGACGAGGATAAAAGAGAATGAATGAGGGGGGAAGAGGTGATGTGAAGGCGGGACGAGAGATCTGGAGAAGTGGAACGGTCCAGAGTAAAAGCCCAGGACTGAGAGCAACAGAGATCATTCCTCTTCCTACTTCCTTCCTCCCGAGATGCCCTGTTCAGCCAGTCATGCCTTACACACTCATCCACATGAAGCCCCCTGCCCTCAAAAGCATCTAGTATTGACCAAGCACTGCTGTTTACTGCTGTATATGAAGAAAAAAAATCATGTGTTGTATGTAACTTACTGTACCTAGCCGAATAAGCACATGTGTGATTCCAGATGTGTCCGTCCTTGTCTCTGCGATTCATGAACCCGAGTCATTTCTGCATGCAGTTACAGCTGACGGGAACCATTTTGTAAGGCGTTACACAGATCAATAATGTAGAGACTTAGACATTCCCTTTTTTACGCCACAGAGCTCATCCTGGTCTGAAGCACATTATGAAGCTGCTTATAAACAGTTGTGTACAGAGGTGAAAAGTGACTATTTCATGTTCAACTGTATTATTATTATTACTGAGGAAAGTACAAAAGTAGCAATTAAGAGAACTTCTACATCTCTCCTACATCACAGTAGTCCTCCATCCATCTTTTATTTATATGCGTTCTCTCTTAATCGTTTTATGAAAATTAAGCAACATGGAGTATCCCTCTACAGGCACTGGTATTATTATACTTGAGGTAAAGATATATCTACTAATTTTAAAATAAACTAGGACTGAAAATGACTGTGTTACTTGATCAATAATTTATAAAAAATATTTGTTGAAAATAGTTTTTAAAGTTGCTGGAGCTGTGGGCGACTTCAAACTTCAAAAGCTTGTCGTCTCAATTTACAATGAATTGAAACAACTGAGCTATGCGACGTCTCTGGGGCTCTGCCTTCCACCCTCCTGTGATCAAGCATTTGTAGCCACGCTAGATACTCTATGGATAGCAGCACTGTGGCACGGCACCTTTGATTGGTCCAACACTTTCGTCCATATTTTATATTTATCAAGGGAAATATCTCAACATCTACTAAAATAGAATTGGTGCAAAGTTTTGTACAGACATTCATGTTTTCCAAGTCTGTGTACATTAAAGACTTTCGTGAACCTGACGGTGAACACTACGACTACGAAACATCAGCATGGTAGCATAGTTTCTGTTAGAATGTTAGCATGCTGATGTTAGCATTAGCTCAAAGCTTCCTTTATGGATAGCTTTACTGAGCTGCTGGCATGCCTGTGGACTTCTAGTCTTGTTGATTGATGACTGAATTCAAAGCAAAACAATGTTGAGTACCTGTAATTAGTTACTTTACACCTCTGGTTGTCAGAAGAGGAAATATCTAGACAAATTCCACAATTTAGATTAGTATTGATGTACATTTGTAACACTGCATCAGTGTGATAATGGAAACTGCATGGTCTTAGATAAAACAGGTAGAAGAACAAAATAAGATAATGTAAAGCACTGATAATCGCATCATTTTAGAGAAAGTGTGATTTTAAGAGCAGTACCCCTGAGACAGAGGCTGCGTGTTGCAGAGTGAGTCAGCGCTGAGGCGGCTGTCTTCTTCTCAGGGGGAACCTCATAATGAGTCAGTCACCTTGTCCTGTTGCTCGGGGCTCTGCCTCCCACCCTCCTGTGATGAATCACCAAATACACAAAAACGATTCTCAAGTTAAACCCTGTGCAACCATCTCATGTGGAATGCCAATGTTGTCTCGCTTGTCCTTGGCCAACCATTTGCTCTGAACTCCTGGAGCACAACAGTGAGACACTGCACAATTATAGTAATAATACATGGTGTTCACTGTACAACATACTATAGATGAGAGGCTTGTGCAATACCTGACTACTGAAAAAACTCAATGTACAGCATGTACTATCTCTGTTGTGTCCGGTTTCCAAGCAACAAACTCACTGTATTCATACCTATTTTGTCCCAAATATGTTCAATATTTTGAAATAAACGCATCTTTCCATAGATTTACTGTTTGCCTTTTTTGTTTGAGAATATACTAAATATAAAACTATTTTTATGGTTGATTAGGTTAAATTAAAAGGTGAAAATTATACTTATAGGGAATATGCTGAATCACTTTTTATTGATAGCCAAGAAAGAAATGGCCAACATCTCAAACGAAAATCAGCCTCGCGCTTAGTCTAAACACTTTTAGAGGTGGGCTGATTTTGGTGACCTTTGAACATTGCCAGGTTAGCCTTTATGCTAAGCTAACTACTGGCTTAATTTATATTTGAGCCTTACAGCTTTATAGATCTGAATGAACAGATTAATAAGTTCATCTGAACTCTTGGCAACAAAGCAAACAAGAGTACTTCCTAAAGTGTTGATCTGTTAAACAACAACAATTAAACTTGACTCTGGTAATGCTTTCAAGATGTTTGAACAAACATAAGGTGGAAATAATATTTATTTAGTTTTCTGAAGACATTTTTGTTTTATTTAGACAAAACTTACTTGCTTTAATCTTCTTTTCTTTCATTTCTCTCTTGAATCCTCAGGCGATTATGCCTGTCTCTCGCACTCACACACTGACACACAGAATACAACATCCTCGCTGATAGACATATTTAATCTGTGTCTTGTAGATTCAGACGTAGACGTACAGCGTACTAACAGCACCATCACTGTCCTGTACATAAAACACACACAGTATTCCAAAGAGTGTACATCGTTATTAAAAAAGATGTGAGACATAAATATTAGACAGGTGAAGAGTTTCCAAGTTCATACAGTAAAAATACTTTTTTTGTACAAAATAGTAAAACATATGGCTTTTGAAAATATTAAAAAATAATAATAAAACATACAGATAGACAAGACACAGGAATCAATATGATTGTAATGTACTGTATGACCCCTTCCATTAAGTAAACCTCAATAATGCTTCAGAACAGATCACACACACACACACCCTCACACACCTTCTGCGAACAGGCCTGAATGAGTACAGGTAGGAGTGTGTGACTGCTGTTACGGAGGAGGGGAAGGATCAAATATGGCTGACGGTCCGTTGATGTGTTTTATGATTGACAGTTCTGGCCCGCTTCCTGCTGTAGCACCATCTCATCCTTGCGGAGGGGGAAGGTGTCAATGGTGGTGAATAATTCAGCCGCCGTGATCGGGAACGGGTAGCGCTGCTTATCCATGCCCTGCTTGTCGACCAGAACCATTTGGAAAGACCTTTGAGGAATCTGGAGCTGTAACCTAGGAAACGGCACATAATTTCAGTGAGCAGCAAAGTAAAAGAAACTCAGTATGTTCGCTCAAGTGTTATACTTTACTAGTGAGAACCACAAATCACTAAGTATGTTTTTCGTTGCAGATTTAACTAGCCAACAGTATATAAGGGAGTTCAAATGAGCACAACCATAAACATTTAAAGCAGTCAAATTCAACATGTGTACATTATAGCAGCAGTAATATTAATCCAAAAACAAATAGGAAAAAAATGACAGGGTATATTTTTTAGCAGAATTTGTACCTTGACCTAGTTTAAGTATATGTTTCTGGAAATATTTACACAATTTTACTTAAGGTTATGAATGCTGGACTTTAACTTGTAGTGGAGTACTTTCAAAGTGTTGTACTACTTAAAAAAAGATCTGAATACTAAGAGACAAGGACGAGGACATTCATGACTGGTCCTTGGCTCTCAGCACTCAGATGAATGTTATGAATTTGTGTGTGTGTGTGGTTGTGTGTGTGTACCTGATCTGCAGGGACAATGCCGGAGTGAGCAGTCTGTGCCGAATTCGGCCAATCTGAGCAGGGTAAATCCCAACCAGCTCAATCACTGTGACGTGCCTCAGGTCCAGTCCACACTGAGCATGCTGAGGACAGAAAAAAGAAACTGATCAATACGTTTGGCGTTTCGAAGCTCTGTTATTGATTTCTATGCAGACAAAAAACCTGAGCACAGTTTATTTCATGGAGGATATAAAACAAATGTGAACCAAAGTGGGCATAGAGAACACCAGGGCTGTAACAATCGATTACTTGCATGATCAATTAAAGACAACCTGCAGTCAAAAGTGAGTTTTACTTTTTCACTTTCACTGTGCAGAATGATGTGTGTGCAGAGTTTAAAACTAAGGATGCTTACACATTTATCTGCCTAGGGGGAGAAAGTTTCTCTCAACTCACCTTAAAACTGAGTTCAAGATGTTGATGGCTCACTCTGCAGCCTACACAACTGTGATGTGGAAACTTAAATCCTCTGAATGGAGATCTTAGTAAAGTTGGAGGCATATTTTGTCGAGCAGTTAAACTTTTTTTAAAGAAATATTTGCTAATTCAAACATTCTGGATTTTATAATCAGGTTAAAGCAGTACATGTAACAGTTACAGGTAATCTAACTAATAACACGATTTAACATTTCGAGTTCCAAAAGTTTGAGGTGACGTCTGAGAAAAGGTCCGGTTTGGTCCAGCAACACTCCAAAATCAAACAATATTACAGTACTATGAAATAAAATAGATAACGGCAGAAAATCCTCACTCCATGAACGAATTTTGGCAAACAAATGATGCTATGAAACACACAGACAACTCACAACCTGATCACTGAGGTTGCTCACAAACTTTTAACGTGTTGTCTCAGATGAGAAGCGAAAGCTTTAAAAGGTCAGGTGTTTAAAGACAGCTCCAACTTAACGGCATTTGGCGATCCGTGGAAACATCCATCACCAGAATAAACCTTTTCAAAGCTGTTGTCAGTACAATTTATTCATCGTGTTGACATTTTGTGGACAACAAACCCTGTCACCCTATTGCCTTATTTGTTTGCCTCACTGCTTTGTCCCACTTGGGCAGCAAAGCGAGGGAGAAACACAGTCACACTGCGGTCCTGTGTGTGAGCAGCAGTGGAGACACGAATCACTGCAGCAGGACCTTACATCAACTCTTCTCTACGATCCTGCCCCCCCTCATACAGCTCATGTTCCCAGAGTCGTGCCTCACCTGTAAGTTAGTCATCTGGAAGCGGTAATTGTGATTGGCAGCCGTTGGCGCCGAAATAATGAGGAGCCGTCGTTTCTCATAGAACTGATCCAGCAGTGCAGCAGCTGTACGCACTCCCACGTTTATGTTCATGGCTGTGATGACATTGAATGTACAATTAAGTGATGTGTTGAGATATGACACACAGTGCAATCATACGAGATTAAATACAACTCAATATCACACTGAGGTAAGGCGTAATTTGATTCTTTAGGGCTGTTGAGCAAAGGCACAATGGAAGTGTATTCAACTGTGAACTGAACCTGTAACATTGAGTATACATTACTGATGGTTTGCTGCAGCAGTCTCTCCAAACTGCTACTAGTTCATGTCTCATAGATACAGACATTCAATAGAGTGGTGTCTAGTATTGATTTTTCTAATCGATAGAGGGCACAGGGGGCCCAATTTTCTCCTCCACTGAGCTTCACCCATATTACCAGTTTAGCACAGGTAGGCCAACTTTACACAGGACTGTGGTGTTTATTGCCACTCGAAAGCACAAATTAAAAATAAATGAGCCAGAGCTTTGAGAATGAGATGTGGAAAATGTTGCCAGAATGGACCAAAACAAAACCCAATCAGAGCCTATGTTCTGTGGCTGAATACCAGTCCTGAGATAACCAAATAATAAAAAATTATCACCACATTCAATTTTCCAATGGTAGAACTTTTCATTTATATGAACAGATTTGGCCTTTATCACAGAACTGGATGAATAATATATAGAAAATATCCATTTCCTTGATGGAAATACTTGAGTAGTCTTCCAAAGGAACCTGTGTGGGGAACATCCTGCAAACTTCTCGCATATTGTTTGGTCATGTCGAAAGTTTATAATCCTATGATGATGTTATGGAGATATCTTAAAGAATGAATCCCAAGGCTGTAGTGCTAGGAGTATCCTTGAAGATTGAAGACATCAATACGGCAAGGATGCAGCTTCCACAAGGGCATAGAGAGAGCAGGTTAAGTAAGTGTAGGACTTAAACTACAAACAATAACATTTGGGAAAATGATATCCACTAATGAAAAATAATGACTTAATGTAAGTCTGTAAAACCAAGTGAAAAATAATTGCCAATGTTAAGAGATAATACTTTTTAAAATTACAAATCTAGTATCTCTGTATGTTATTATATATACTTTTAATACATTTGAATGATTTGTCTTCTTTTTTGTTTTATTTTATTTCTGCAGCTGCATTCTTAGGTATTTTTTTGTAAATTGCTGAGCATAAAAAACAACTAAACAACAATGGATAAATTAAAGATTGTTAATGTAAGTATGTATGCGTTACCTGTACAGGTGGTGTCCAAGCCGGACCAGGTGAAGCCGTACTGACACACTCTGGCCACGCTGCCCTGCAGATCGTAGCCTCCGGTGCATTTGAACTCACAAGTGGCCCCGTAGTTGTCTCCGTCACTGTCACACTTCATATAACCGTTGTCCGGGGCAAACAGCGGGCTGCAGCGGCGCACTGAACAGAAAAAGAGCCCCATTAGATTCCAGGCAGCGAGGTCACATTCAAACAAATAAAAAAAGACAGAGGAAGATTGGCCTTCTGTATATTCTCCATGTATATTGCACTATTGCCTGTAGGTTACAACAGCATCTCATTTGTTACAACAGTCTCTATTTTGACATTATTCAAGGTCTTACTTCTTAGTATTAACCGATAAGATAAAATGCTCCTTAAAAATGCAGCTTGACACTCATTATCAGAACCCTTTGATTAATTCACCTCGCACTCTGACAGTGAAACGACAGGATCCTTTGTTCCCTGCACGGTCAAACACAGTGTAGGACATCTTATGGAGCCCCTCCGGGAAGTCTGATTTTGGAACTTTCCCTTTCAGGATAACACTGAAAAATAAAGGCTCTCTTTTAATCTTTCACTGTGATCTCAGTGTTAAGAGTGGCATATTAACAGACAAGGGAGAAACAGCTTAAAAGAGAGGTGGAGA